TCTTCCTCCCTCCTTGCCCTGTCTGTGTGCTCTCCGCTTCTTATAAAGCCTCCCATCACTGGATTTAGGGCTCATCTCAAGACCCTTAACTAATTAGATCTGTAAATCCTCTAGTTCCACATTAAGGTCACATTCTGAGGTTCCAGGTAGACCTGAGTCTGGGGGGACATTATTCCCCCCACTCCAGTGGTTGCCAGGCCAGGGCCAGGAAGATCACCTGGAAGCAGGATGGGGAAGGAGGGACTACAGGCAGGGAGACTGACTCCTCTAAGTGAATGCCAAGGATGCTCCCTGTTTGGGGTCCCAGCAGCTTTTTTCTGTGGCCAGTGCAGCACCCCATGTGGGCTCATAAACCAACCCAGGCACAACCCTTTGCTCTCCCTTTGGCCCAGAGAGGCTGCAGCCTACCTTCCAAGGGATGGCAAAGGAACGATTACACGCACCTCTGCTGCTCTCTGTTCCTTCTAACTGGCAACATGGCAGACAGGTTGGTCCAGCAGAGGACCACATGGGAGCTGGGAAAGCTGGTTCTAGTCCTGGTTCTCCCACTCACTGAATTTAGGACATTGGACATATCTAGGGAATGAGGCCACCTTGGTCACTTCTAAGGCAATGATATTGTTTCATTCTGCAGCCAAGAAAGCAGCCCCAAACTCACAGGAGGAACCAGGGAAAGAAGGCCGCTGGGGCTACACTTCAGGGTTCTGTGCCCTCCCCACTCTGATCCTCCTCCAGGGATTCAGTGCCCCCTCCTTGAACGTCCTTCCCTCCCCTAAAACACAGGGGCACTAACCAAAGCTTGGAAATGAAATAACCTAAATCTAAGAATACATCCTTTCACACATTTGGAAGCAGGAAGGCTGAGTAAAGATGTGGTTCCTTTTTATTTTTTAATCAAAGCAAATGTTTAAGGATCAATGCACAAAGTTGTTCATAGCACCATTGTTTCTAAAAGGAAAAAATTACAGGAAGAAAAGGGAAACACTCTTCATGTCCACCTGTATGGGATTAGTTTGATGAATTATGGTACAGTTGTGCATTAAGTGTGATAGACTACAATGTACTGCATGAAAAGATGTCTATGAGGTGGTGGTAACTGAAAGATGCAGATTGCACAAGAAGGTGTTGAGAAAAATCCCTTCTATGTTTTAAAAATATCTGTATGCTCACAGCCTGAGCCCAGTGAGGCTGGAAGGAACCCAGCAAACAGATAATGACACGGATCCCTGGGGCTGGGAGAACAGGAGATTTTTACTTTCTACTTTGTCCAATTTTGAGCTACTGGACTTTTTTTTTTTTTTTTTTAAACAACTGGCAGTATTAGTTTCATCAGCAAAAACAATAAAAATATTCCCATTCCGAAAATAAAATAACTATTCTAGATAGATGCAAAGTACTATTGGCCCACAGAGAAAAGTGATCAGGATAAAAATCACTTCGCCATAAAAGCACACCAGAAAAAAAAAAGAAAGAAAACAACATTCTGAGCTTGGGAAGGAGGAAATACCAGGTAGGTATATGTTTCAAAGCCCTCAAACCCAAGCTACCAATGTTCCCCCCAGCACACCCAGCAAATTTCTCTCATTCTCCATGTTAGCCTAAACCCTCCCAGGTCAGTGCTTTCTGCAGATACTACTACTACTAATAATGAGGAGGTGGCAGAGCTGATATTTATTGAGCACTTATTATTAGCCAGGCACCGCGCTAAGCACTTTATATGTATTCTTTTTGTCCTTATAACATCACTATTCCCTTTTGATAGATGAAGAAACTGAGGCCCAGCTCAAGGATCCAAACCCAGACAGTCTGATCCTAAAACCCGTGACTATAACCAGTGCTTTAACCACTCTCCTGGAAGCAAAGCCCTGTTGGAGCTCTTGATCATTTAGGCCCATAGGAGATGGTTCCAGGCTCTGCCAATCTCTGCCAACCCCTTCCTTCTTCCTCTCCACCCACGTTGGCCAGTGCCTTGTACGTACAGGAGACTGGGTCACTTCCAAAGGGATCCAAAGACAAATGTGATGTGGTCTCTGTCCTCTCCTAGTTCACAAGGAGGAAGGAAAGAGAAGACTCAAGTTCTTAGACCAGAGGCTGACCATGTTGGCCTTGGGGGAGTGCCAGGAGGGAGGAGGAGGCAGATTGCAGCATCCTGAGGCAACCTTCTGGGCAGGCAACTCTCCAGGAGCTCGCCTACAGCTGGCATGGTGGCTGGCCACTCCCAGCCTCTCTCTGGGGTCTCCCACTCACATCTGCCAAGCCCCATGCTGTGCCATGGCGGGTCCCCCCAAGGACAACACAAGGATCACTGATTGGGGTGACCCTGAACATTCGTGTTGGTGGATGAGCACCAACTCACTGCTGTGCTGGTCCAAAGTATGGGAGAAGGGTCCCCAGGCCAGAGAGACCATGCTCAGCCCCCGAAGTCCTCATTGGATCTTGCATGGACACCACTCCTGCCTTCCAAATCAGTACGCACCCACATAGAATGTAAATTGGTGCAACTTCTTTGGAGAACAGACAGTATTTACTAAAGCTGAACTTATGTAGCCTATGACCCAGCAATCCCACTCCTGGTTGCCCAATGGAAATGAGTGTTTGTGTCCACCAAAAGGTATGTATAAGAACATCGGTAGCCGCTTTATTGATCATAGCCCAAAACCGTGAATGGTCTAAATGTCCGTCAGTAGAAGGATGACCACGCTAGCATTTGAACACACGAGAGAATACCACACAACAACGAGAGAGAACGAACTACTTCACTCAACAAGGTCAAAAGGCTGAGTGAAATAAGACAGACACAAAGAATACATGCTGTGTGATGCTATTTCTGCAGGTAAAATGAGTCTGTGGCTGCTGTGGAATGGGTATTGACTAGATGGGGGCACAAGGGAGTGTCTATGGTTCTGGAAATGTTCCATGCCTTGGTTTGGGTGGGGTTTATGTGGACATATGTAGCAGTTCCATCATCCCGTATATTGGAGATATGTGAAGTTTGCAACTTTTAAGTAATATTGCAAAAAAAAAAAAAAGTTTTAATAAATTTTAACCACACAGAGATTACAATCAGGTCAACTTCTCCTGGCCTCCAGGTAAGAACTGGTTAGTTGGAGTGGTAGAATTATGAAGAGATGCTTCCTTTTGTTAGAGCTCCATTAAGGTTATATATATTGGTGTGAAAAATAATTTGGCTTGTAAAAAACCATTTAGAATTCAGACTATCCAAACCACACACGAGAGGCCTCAAAACTCCTAAGAAATTATAGTTCTAGAACCAGACACCAAAAAGAAGCTCTAAAGGGCTAAACTGTTCCTCCTTCCTCCCAACCCTTGGCAGTAGGGTCCCTCTGACCTCCTGACAACATTTGCCTTCTTGCTCTCCCTTCATCCCCCAGCCCCTGGGGGGTTCTTGGACTTGGCCCAGTCCCTAGAGCTGCTCAGATTCCTCATGAGCCGTGGGAGCTGCCCCCTTACTCTGGACACATTCCCACCCACCCCTCTAACAGGCACCCTCACCATCTACCCCCACCAACCTCGGTGGGTGCATCTCTCTACCACAGCCTACCCCAGAGAGCCACCCTCCAGTGACTCGCACCTTTCTGAGGCTCCCCGAGTAAAGACAGGCGCTCTCATACTCCCCGTGTGGCTTCCCCACTGCCTGAAATGTGTTTTCTCAATTCTTTACTTCAAGGACTCATTCTCATCTTTCAAGACACGATGCAAGGGTGTCCATTCCCACAATGGCTTTCCTGGCTCCCCTATGTAGGCTTCTTCCCCTCACTCTTCTCTCTTCCCACTTCTCTTGGTTCATTACAGCCCTTGCCATGAGGAACAGCAGTTTATCTCTTCACCTGTCAATTTCATCCCACTAGAGAGGAGCACCTCAGTGATAATATCTGCCATTGCCTGAGAACTTGCTATGTGCCAGGCACCAGGCTAGCCCATTACCCTGGGACTTGATCCTCCCAACCCCCTGTGGCGTGAGGGATGGTTTCATCCCCATTTTACAGATAGGAAAACTGAACCTTGGAGATGATAAAGAGCTTGCCCAGGTCTAAACCGTGTCTGCCTGGCAGGAATGGTCTCCCTTAAGGCAGGGGTCCCATCTTACTCCTCTTTTTCCAGCACTGCACTTGGCCACCACAGGTGCCCCAAAAAAGGGTACAAAGCTCAATCAATTACACAAGGGGAATAAGTTCTGGAGGTCTGCCACACCACCCCGAGCCTATAGTTTATAATACTATTTGTGCACTTAAAAATTTGTTAAGAGAGCAAATGTCTTGCGTTCATAGCACAATAAAGAAAGGAAAAGAGGGTGTGGGCAGGGGCGGCAGGTAGCAGGGGCAGCGTAGCCTTGGGCATATGTGAGCCCTGGGCACCAAATAGCCAGCCATGGTGAGCCGCACCGGCCCGGCCGCCTCACAGGGCAGCACCTTTGGGGCTGCTAAGAATGGGGATTCCCCAGAGCTGAGGCGTCTGAGCCTGGGGCGGGGGCGTAGAACTCAAGAGACTAGTCCCACTACTATTCCCCCCAGGGTGGAGGCAAGGAGGGAGAAGAGTAATCAAAGTCTGAAGTCCCATCCGTTTCCTGGTTTGACTGCAAAACAAGTGCACAGCGCCCCGTGAGCAAACATCTTTCCTAGTGCTGAGCGTTATTAGCATCATCAACAGACATGCCCGAGATGGAGCCCACGGAGGAATTCTCTCTAGTCTGGGAAGTGTGGAACCCACCCAGGGGCCAACATCCTGAGAACCCACACTGAGCTCAAGTCTGAACCTTCAGATAAAGAGGCAAATGGAGATTTTCTTACAAGGATCAGCAACCCTGGAGGCTCCAGCTCCACAGCCTGCAGTGCAGAAAGAGTGAGCCCTCTGGTTTCCCGAAGACAGGCGGGCATGGGACCGACAGGTCAAACACTGATGTGTCATGGTCCACACCCACACTTGCCAGAGTCCCTGACCCCTCTCCCCAGAGAAAGAAAAATGGGGGACACAGTACTTACCAGTGCTATGTCCCCTTTCCTCTGCTGACTGCTTGATCCAGTCTCTGGCTTTGTTGATGTGAAATAACTTCAGATCCTCTTCATCTAAGGCAATGTCTCCCCAAAAGACAGCTGGAGAGAAAAAAACATAAATGGATCCATTTAGGCTGGAGATCAGAAAAAAAGATGGATTTATTAATGCCCCAGAGGACATTAGATGTTGGGTAGCAAACTCTAGAAATGACAATCCATCCAATCAAATCTCTCCCTGAACCTAACACAGCGGGCTGGTAGAGACAGAAGAATGGCATATAACAATTCTGTGTATCAGAGCCACAGGGCTGGAGCCAACCACCATCCCAATCAAGGCCTAGGTCTGTAAGGTATTTTGAAAGGGCACCCTGTCTTACTCGAGCTGTAAGCAACTCTGGGCAAAACCACCACATAGAGATAGCTGTTTCTTTCTTCTCCAGAGTCCCCAGGATATAAAAGAAAAGCATAATGTGATAAATGATACTACTGTTCACAATATTTGCTGCCCTTCCCTGGGGGAAGATTATATTTCTTTGCCCCATTAATGTCAGAATCGGCCACTTCACCTGCTCTGATAAATAAATGTGAGAGAACGCTCTAGAGTTAGCGCACGATTCACATGTCCTCTTTTCCGTTTCCCAAAAGACAAGCAATATTCTAGATAGGGGCAACTCTATCACTCTGGGTTCTAGAGTAAATATGATGTGGAGCAAAGGTATGGCTGACCAGGATGGATATGTAGCATGAATGAGGAGAATAAAACCTGCTAGTTTTACAAGTCTCTGAGATTTGGGGCTATTTGTTACTAGAACACAGACAAATGTGTTTATCCTGACAAATACAGAAATTGCTATCAGAAGTAGTATGCTGCTATAACAAAAATCTATTGTGTTTGGGCAAGGCAGTGGGTATCAAGGAAACTGTTACTGAAGCCTGGAAGGAGGTGAACTATGTTATGCAGTGATGAGGTACCTGGTAAAAATATTGGCCTGTATTCACTTGGAAGGCAGATGATAAGCTGAATATGCTATGGCTTTAAGTGAAGAGACTGAGAGTCAGAATGTTAATAGCACGCCTTGGTTGCTATTAGCTGTGTCTGATAAGGTACTACAGGAAAGAAAAGGGTTTTATAGAGAACTGGGCAATTTATAGTGGGAATGTAAAGGCATGAAGAGAGTCCAGAAATTCAAGAAGAGCCAACCTATTCTCATCACTAAGCAATAAAAGAAAAACCGAGAGGGCCTTTGAGTAACAGAGGCTAATTAAAACTTAACTTTGTGGTGTGGAGAGATGGGAACTCTCACCCATTGCTAGTTGGAAGATAAGATGGTATACTACCTATGGAAAATCATTTGGCAGTTTCCTAAAAAGTTGAACATGATCTTTAAAACATAATCTTAAAATCTGAAAGTTTCCTAAAAAGTTAAATATAATCATATGATCCAGCAATTCCACTCCTAGGAAATCTTCCCAAGAGAAATGAAAAGATATGTTCACACAAAGACATAAACTCAAATGTTTATAGCAACCTTATTCATAATAGCCCCAAACTTGAAAACAACACAAATGTCTATCAGCTGTTGAACACATAAACAAAATGTGGTATATCTATAAAATAGTAAACTATTTAGCAATTAAAAAGAACAAACTTTTGACAAATGTATGACACACGTATGTACGGACTACAACATGTATGAGTCTCAAAAACATCATGCTAAATGAAAGAGGCTAGATGCGAAAGACTACATATTACATGATTCCATTTATATTAAATGTCTAGAAAAGGCTAATTTATAGAGCTAGAAAGATTAGTGATTGCTATGGTTGGGGGCAGGACTGAGATTTGGCTATCAATGAGCACAAGGGAGCTTTTCCCGGTGGTGGAAATGTTCTATAATTTAATTGTGGTGATGGTTGCACAACTATGAATTTACTAAAATCACTGAATTGTACACTTACAGTGGTGAATTATACAGTATGTAAATTATACAAGAAATCTGTGTGAGAAAAAAATAAACCACTCAACTTTATGGCAAGGACCAGTCAAGATGGTGCCTAATACATTCCTTCAGTGGGAGAAGAATGGGGAGGGACAGGAGACCAAAAGCATGGTTCCCTCAGAGAGGCCTAGCAAATGCCAGGTGCCAGCAACTAAGTCCAGAGAGAGAGAGAGGCATGTCTAGAAAACAACCGTGGTGTGGCCACCCCACCTGCAGCTGAATCAAACAGGAAGATGACTAACATTTCAGAAAAGCATGTGCCAGAAGAGCCACTAGCACGGCCTGCAGGAGACTGCAACTCTTTGAGACTTAAAATGACCCCAAATGATCCTTGAGCCCCCAACCTTCTATGGGGAAGGAAGTGGGCTGAAAAAGACGTCCTCTTCAGATATGGCCAATGAAAATAATGGAAAAGAAAAGACAGACCCCCCCCCAATGGCGCCATGGAGGGCCATGGAGGAAAGATGATCGGAGAACTACTCACAGGAGGTGGAATCAGAGCCCTCCCCTGGAGAGCACACATGGGGAAGACACCTCGTGGCCTGCCATTGCATCCTAGTCCATCTCTGGAGCCAGAGAAGAGCAGAGCTCTAAGATGTAAGTTTCAAAAACAACAATAGTTCAGGGAACAGCAAAGAGTGCTGGGATTGATTAGTGATGTCTGCCATGGGCAAGTGTGGGAGTGGCAACCCTCTAGGGTGTGTTTTCGGTCCCTGCTTTCATCTTTAGGAAGAGAATCAGGGTGATACTGCTGTAGAAAAGAAATCAGAGGTCTGGTATAAAAGCAACTGCTCTCCTTTGAAATCGAAAAGAACAAATTGAAAAGTGTTCCCAAATAAAATAAGATACTGTCACAACACATCAGAAAAAATGATGGATCAACAATTAGCACTACACCACTGTGCAATAGTATTTTCTGCAAAGATGGTAGCCATTTCTGCAATATGGTAGCCAATAACTACACGTGGTTACTGGGCACTCGAAATGTGGCTGGTGTAACTGAGGAACTGAATTTTATGTTTTATTTTATTGTAATTAAAATTTAAATTGCTACATGTGGCTAATGGCTAAATTATGAATACAATATAAACAATATAAACTAAAATTGTATATGGTATACATAACATAATATAAAATAAAATAATAAATTATATTTAAAATAGCAGCAAAAAGCAACACATATCTAGGAATAACCTCGATACAAAAAGTGTGATACTATGTCAAGAATGTAAAATTCTACTAAAAGCTATAAAAAGTGACTGACATGAAAAGAAAAACATACTATGTTCCTGAAACGTTCATTCTTTTCAAATTAATGTGTAGGTTTAATATGCTTCAATCAAAATCCCAATAATGCTTTTATTATTGACAAAATGATATTAAAGTTCATCTGCATAATTAGGTGTTAACAGTCAAGAAAGAGTACTAAAGGAAGACTGGCTTCATTGGACTAATTAATGTTACATGTTATAACATATATGTTATAAAAATACATGTTATAAATATGTTATAAAGCTACAACAACCCTGCAACATAAAATAGTCTGGAAGCAATCCCTAGGCTATATAAGAAAATTCATATATGAGGAGGTCTCACAAATTTGTGGAAAGAGGGGGACTAATCAATGAATTATGTTGAGACAAATAGGTTAGCTATTCGAGGAAAAATCAGGTTGGCTTTGAACTTACACTACACCAGAATAAATTCCAAATAAGTAAAAAATATATTAAAATTTAAAAATTAAATCAACAAATTGCCAGAACAATATTTAGAATCAAATGAGCTAATAAGTCTATGGATTCAAAACACACAGCTATTGAATTCTTACCAAAAGGCAAAAACATGGCCCCTGGCAATCTCCTAAGAGAAGCTCTGGGAGGGTTCCTTTCTCTTTCCCCCACCAACCCCGGCTACTAAAGCATAATCCACAGACAAGCAGCAGCATCTCAGAGCTCCATAGAAATATAAGATCGCAGGACCCACACCAGACCTGTTGAATCAGAAGCTGCATGTGAACAAGATTCCCGGGGAGAGCGCGTGCACACTGAAGTCTGAGAAGCACAGACCCAAGGCGCCAGAGATTTTGCCTCCATCAACCATGCCCCTGGGGGCACAAAGAGAACTTGAAAAGATAGGCCAGAGGAAGCATCTAAAATGCCCATCAGTGAAAATGCCATGGGCTTCAGTCTCGGCGGACCCCACTGAACTCCAACCTGCAATTTAGGGAGTTGTCACAAGGTGGTGTTTTGTTAGGAAGCTCTGGCTAGTAACTCTGTCGGGAATAGATTATGAAATACAATAGGAAAAATGCTTTTCAGAATCCAAAAATAGAAATCTTTAAAGTAGTCAGGTCCAGTTTTAAATAAGAAATTTGCAAATATAAAAGGAGACTAATTTTAAAGAAATACTTTCTAATGATATCTAATCAGTGATGTGCTGATAATTAACGATTGGCTAGGGGAGGGGAGAGCCTGGTTTGTAGCGTTTGCTGATTTCCCTGGTGTGACTCCCATGATGGCTGATTTCGAGGTGGCAGAACATGGTGTTGGGAAAAAGAGCGTACCATGGGCTCTCACAAGCTTGCAGGTGAGAACCAGCTCCAGCAGACTACTGTAATAATAATGATGAGTAGCTATAATGTTATGTTCCCCATCTGATCCCATGTGTATGCCTGACCGTCAAGGCTTCAAAAGATGACCATGAGTCAGCCTTGTAGGGAGAGGCTCCCATCCCAGGATTCTCACAGCATCTTGCCCTGCCTGTCTTTTCCCATCTACAACAGAAGCATACAGCACTCTGTCTCGGATACCAGGCCAAATGCATTCTATACGTCAACCTCAAATGAAGGACCAGAGAGGAGATAAGACTTGGCCAAGGTCATGCAATCAGGAAGAGGCTTCACAGACATTTTAAGCTAACCAAGGCCTCCCAGATTCCCAAGCCAGATTTCTCCCTGACTAAGCCACTCTTACCAAAGTTTCACATTCTAATAAGAAATGTGGCATTAAATAGCTTTCCTTACTGCAGGACTTCTCAGAGCCTTTACAACCCTAACAAATACCATGAGTCTCTAAGAGAAAGAGAATGCAGCCTTTCCCA